TTTAGAGCACTGCTTTCGTTATTAGTGTTTTCATCAGATAAAGCGGCCACACGTTTTGCCACTTCGTCAACATATTCAGGTGTTCGCATTTTATTAGGGGTGATGGCACTAGGTTCTTAGAGTAGTTTTGGAACTGGAAATGGTGAGAGATTTCCAATCAACTGGGTCCTAGACCTGTTCATCATACAATATGGTGTCACTGTCAGATTCCTCTCCTTGTAATAAGGCATTTGGTGGTTGTTAAAGCACATTGTTAACCCACGCTGTAGACAAAAGAGTCACTTTTGGGGACATGAGTTGACTGTCCTTTAGGGGTAATGGATGATAGAATTTATTACAGTCCTCATGATTTGTCCTATGTCATATAAGAACATCCAGATCTTTTCGTAACGCTTTCATGGTACAACCATTGATTCCACATTTTACAAACTCATGAGTGTCCATGATATGTTTTTGTAGTTGATATCCCTGTTAAGGCAGGGTCAGCCACCCTTTACCTTTTTGTCGCACGCATAGGCCTTTTGTGTGACCGTATGAGTAAAAATAAAAAGTAGCTTACTAATGTGACAAAACTAAAATTGAACTATGGTAATTTTATTGAACATTTTTACAGGAAGTTCATTTAAGTCTGATTCACCAAATTTCAGTTACAAAAATACAACATGATAAATCACTGAATACTAGTATATACATTTTGTTGTGAATGGGAACCTCTGCCATTTGAGTGACCTATGTCTGAACCAAAATAGACTATGGAAATCTTACTGGATGGCGCAATTAATCAAAACAATTAAATTTCTCTTTTCTATTCTTCCAAACTTTTACCATTTCATAATGGCAATTTTAATATGGCCTCCCTTTTTTGAAACTAACATTTTTGCTATACTTTCATATTGTGTATCTTCCACACTTACATGTAGGACCCTCTCTTATTTCATGTTTGAATTATAAAATAGTGTCAATACTAAACAATAAATGTAATTCAGACGGGGTCTGGTATCTGGAAGTACCTCAATCTGTCAATGAATGGAGAAGGTCATTCACTGTTTACAACAAATACACAATAGGGTGTCTTTCAATACAATAGGATTATTAACTATTTATGCATGAATGGCACATGAAATGAAGCTTAGTAGATAAGGACACACTGTAGTTCTTATATTGAAAAGTGAAATTAAGTCTATCTACAAAACTCAAGGTTCTGTGAAAATATGTCAAAATTACTCATTTGAAGAATCAACATGACATGTGTTAAGAATCACTGTAAAAAACACCTTTTTACCATTTTTCCACACTATTTTTGTGATTTGTTGAAAATACACTTAATAAAGATTCAAATTGCATAAAAATAATTCTGGAATTCCATTTACCATTTTAAATAATTTTCTAAGTTCTTATAGGTACACTAATAGGTACGGATCCTTTGATTCTTAAGTCAAAAATTCAAAATAAAGTTTGATACAGAAATCAAACTTTTCAAAGTTTATCAAATAAAATTTCACACTTTTCAAATAAAATTTGAACCCAAATCAAACTTTCTCAAAGTTTTCAAATAAAAATTGATACTAGGGTCAAGAATCAAAATTATATTCTGAAGCTGAATTGAGAAGAATTTCGGCATGCCCAATTAAACGAGTCTGATGTTTCACACCAAATTGGAAATCACTCGATCGAATAAATCAGAATGTCTGGTCCCAGAAGTCCCTTTATTAACCCCATGCTGTCAAAGTAAATAACCATTTATCAACTCCGTCTTAGATCTTGAGTAGCCATTTGACAATTTAATAATATTATTGTTATGATACCCGTACCATCGCAAAACATCCCCTTCAGTATTAAACATTTACATCAAAGAAAATCTGTTTAGCAAAGTGTCAATCATAAATATTTAGCCCTGTGACCATGAATTAATATAACAGAAATGCTTACATTTTATGTCTTTGATATGTTGGAATTTAGAATCCGAAAATTGGATTTCAAGTTGTTGATTTAAGCATCAATCAATAGAGCGATAAATCAAGTGTCCTGTGACAAGACACATGGGCTTTTTATATCCATCGTGGAAATGATGTGGCCGCATAAATGCAATGCTTTTGAAGTTGTTTGACCAATGGGATTGTAAGAAAATATCTAAAGGAAGGAAGAATTTCAATTGAGCTCTAGTATTGCGAATTGTAATAGAAAGCTTATCAAAAAGGCCTTTTCGTAACATTCTACCCGACCATTAAAATCCAATTCTCCTGAATTGGGGCGAAAGAAAAATGAAAACAAGAAAAGAAAGATAACTACAAGCATTGCACTGTTGCTGACACATCACTCCAGCGTCCAGGTCATGGTCTTCTTTTTTCCATTGATCTTTAGTTTTGATCTTTCGTTTTTTGCTAGAAGCGTCTGGTGTTCCTTGATGACTCTGGCCATCATAATAGAGGGGGGCATTGTCAGGCCTAAGACTTGGTGGAGCAGTCCTAAGACTTGGTGGAGCAGTCCCCCCTGGAACAGCCTTCAGTTGGTCAGTTCTTCCATGGAAGTATCTCCCCCCCCCACTGGGTGATTGGTTCAATTTTAATCTACATGCTCGCCGGTGCCTTGCATAGAACATGTCCACAATCCTCTGGGGGGTCGCTACAAGAACATTATGTCATATGTAAATAAGGAACTACAATTTTACTACACTGAGACTTCATAAATGATTCTTTTAAATGTTTCATATATACTAGTTTTGTTTGTACAGAAGGTTCCTTACTGCGTTTCTTAAAATTTCCTCCTCGCACCGAGACCGCCTGAGGTCTTGTTCTAGGAGGCCGACCTCATCTTCTAATGCCTTGCATGCCCGACGTTCATTTTGGAGGGCCTCCATTAGTTTTTGTTGGTTTCTCCTTCGTTTTATTGCTGCTCTTTTCCTTATCTCTGCTTTCTTTTCTTCCATATACCGCTCCAAGAGGAGCCGCATCTCATGTCTGGAGGGTGTCATCAACGTCTCATCTGAGGGCAGCCGAAGTGGGTTGAAAACTGGCATAGGATCATCAAGAGGGACCATATTCAAGAACCCATCCATACTGTAAAAATAAGAATCATTCCCATGATAGCTGTATAATTAGCTCCAATTGTCAGCGTCACTACCACCTCATAAGTTTCATACTGTCTATCAATGTTTTCTAGTCATTTTGGTTATCCTTTAATTTATTCTAATTCTTCACTCAATATCTGTCAATCCTCTCTTTATTAAACTACACTCTTGATACCAGTTTGCCATTTTTTGTTTGTTTTTCTTTTTGTTTTGTCTTGTTTTTATTTGATTTTTAATGGTTATGTTCCTTCATCATTCAGAATATATTTGTCTTCTTGCCATGGTTGGTACAGTGTAGTGGTATCAAATGATGCAGTCTCGGGTTATGTGCTAGCTTTTGGTATAGGGATATCAGGATTGGTTGCCATCGCAGGAGCTTGATCCTTCTTCTTAGGTCCCCTCTGTCTACCCTTTTTGGTTTGGCAATAGCTTCCCTTGATTCCTCAGCAATTTCCCTTGCATCTTGAATCTTTTTAAGGAGCTGGAAATTCTTTTTTCCTGTAACATGGATCACGAAAACTTCAGGCTCAGCCAACTCTTTCGGACTGATGATAGGTGTGACTGGATTAGAAGTTGTATCGCCTTGTGCCTCGAAATATTTGATTTTTCGTTCATCAAGGTTCCGTATCTTTCAATGGAGTTGTTGAGACCCACACGGGAATTGAGAATCGGCCAAACACAGTCCCCGAAATGTCTTCCATTTCTGCTAGTTGAAGATTTCAGTAGGCCTAATGATGTCATAAAAATACATACTAAACATAACTTGGGCACCATATGACCCGAGTCCCTTCAAGTGGCCCAAGATTAAACCTAAACCCCTGCCATTCAGATACTGGATGTCTGCAGTTGTAATGGTGTCAGCAGTTCCATTCATCAAGCTGAGTTCTGCTAAGAACTTCACCTGGACTTTGCTAATATCAGTATCAAAATACTTTCCATAAAGGATGAGCTTTTTGAAAATAGCAATGTCAATGCTTTCATCTAATATCAATGCATCATATGACCGTGCCTTGATCTTTGCCAGTACTTATGCATCAATCTCATATAAACAAGCAATCATCTGGTTGTGAACAACCGTGGACATGTATGTATTTTGGATATTGGATCCATTCTGTCTCTGTAAGTCAACCAAATCATTGAAGAGTGATATTGGGAGCGTGTGTGTAGCAAAGAATTCAGCTATTCTGATTTGCTTTGTCAGAGAGTCTTCCACCACTTGACCTTGATTAACAAATTGACTTCTTATCAATCTATCCGTCTTACCAGCCCCCCTGCATCAATATGCATCGGGCATGAGGCATGTCTTACCAATGTAAAATGTTGAAAGTCCTTACAACCAGATGCGGATGTGAAAACATTCCATTTTCGACCATATTTATATTTATATTCATATATTCCACCATATTTTTGTACAAACCCCCTAAGAACAGTAAATGCCAAACTTCTGATATTATTTGCATTCAATTGTAAATGGTAACTTGCCTAATTTGACACTTTGGTAGTCTTTCCACCATCCTCTCCCCAATCTATACAAGTCTGGTTCAATCAATGTATGGTTTAATAAATAATAAATAGAAATGAAAATATGGTCTACATATATATTCTGACCCTTTCTTATCATAAGTCCTACTATGTCTCATATTCATCCAACCATGTTGGCCTTTTTTGAAGCCTTGGCTTCTCCAACAAAACCCTTATGCTCAATTAATTGTTTCTTAGGAGGTAATATTTTCTGGGATAAGTTCTAGCTCCTTGGGATCTCTCGCTATGAACGGTTTCACCTATTGTACGGTTTGAGCACATTGATTGGGGATTACACACAAATTAAACGACTCGCCTTTGATGGTGACACGCCATTCCTCATCTGAGAAACAACCTACTCAGAGTGAAGTTTGCCTTGAGGCCTTCTTTAAAGTCGAGGTTGTAACTAGGTTTGGCATCTCCTGGTTGAAGTTCACTTGTGCAATTTGCAGGTATCGGTATGTCTATAATGTTTGCCTTGCGTAGAATAGCCTTCATTTCATCATTCTTACTTTGTGCATTATAGACATCGAACAGTACTAATGCCTTTTGGCCAAGTGGCATATCCTCATCTTCAATTGTTTACTCGTGACGTATGGAACAATTACCTCCGATGCATAGCTACAAAAATATGTTAAGATGACAATAATGACCAAAGCTATACTAGTAGTAGAAAACTAAATTATTAAACTTTAGCCTGCTTAATGGCCTAGTCACATAGCCCGGCCGATGTCCGACATCGGTAGAGCTCGGTGGATTTTTTTGGTGCCACCGAGCTCTCCTCATCGGAAGCAGAGCTCGGTGACGTGAACGGACTCCGTCCGGACATCTTCAGGCGACCGACCGAACACCGGCCGGTGACCGTACGGAGTCTGTCTCAAAATGGTAGTTTTTTTCTGCCGATGTGGCAGCAACTATCGGCCGGAGGTCGTCCGATGTAACACGGACTTGGGTGCTGAGCTATTCCATTCTTCCTACCTGACATTGTCACTTCATCACTATGGCTGCACCGAGGAGACTTCGAATGGCACTGCTCGAGCACGAACTGGCTCAAGCAAGGTTCCAGTACAACCTGGTCCTGGCGGCAATACTAGAAGCCGCCAATACTAGAAGCCGCCGAGAGGGGGCGACAGAGGGCCCGCAGAAGAGAAAGACGCTGTTGGGTGCGCGAGTGGATCCTACGCAGACCCCTTTTCGGCCAGTACGACACTCTCATGAAGGAACTCGAGGCCGAGCACGCTGCCGACTTCAAAGCCTTCCTCCGCATGGAGCCACAGATGTACTATGAGTTGCTTAACCGAGTTGGCCCCCGCATACCAAGAGTACAATGTAAGTTAATATGTATTTTGCAAACAAAATTCCCTCCAAACATTATATTCTTGCTAAGGTTTAATCATACTTCATCCTCTTCTGTTGCAGGCATCGAACCCCCTTGGACCCTGGGATGAAGCTGGCAATCACCTTGAGGTTTTTGGCAACCGGAAGCAGCTACCACAATCTTGCGTTTGCGTTTACAATTACAATATTGAGAGACATAAGCACGTTGGCATATGTCATTTTGTTCCACAAAACTTCGGAAAGATGTTTCATTTCATTCCAAACATATGATACCAAGAACAAAAGAACTGTCTGATGTGTTTTCTAAAACAATATAGGGAAGAGTATATTAACGTGTTACCATTCAAAAGATGATCATTAAATTGATGATGTGTAAAATTTTCAGAATTTTTTGACTGCTTGTTTTAGAGAAACATGTGGTCAAAAAGTTCGCCATATTGATACCCACCCTTTAAAAATAATTTCAAACATTTCAAAAGCTGACAAGGTCTCACCAGAAAGCTCAATCTGTTCGCTAAACTTGTCCAGAGTCCATTCCTTCAACTTCGTGTTTTTGTAGTTCTCATGCCCAACATCGTAGTACATAGGGTGTCCCTCGTAGAAATCTGCTATCTTTTGCATCTGGTCTTGGGTGATCTCCTCTATCGGCACACCAACGGCTCGCCGCGACGCCGACGAGGACTTGGACTTTGACGAGGACGTGGGCTTGGACTGCGACGACTTTGACGCCTGGGACGCCCGGGACGCCATGGACTCAGCATCGGATATCTCTGATTTCTCCCCCTCTGTACCACTGGCACCGCCTTCTTCCTCTTGTATCCTCTTTTGGGGAGATTTTCTGGTATTCACTGCTAGTGTCTTCTGCTTCTTCTGGCCCTTTCCCTTGCTGCTAGCTGGCTCCTGCCTCTTCTTGCCGCAATTCTTCTCATCTCCAACACTTTCCTTGACTAATTTTGGCATCCTGTTTATAAAGTCTGTCAAGAGTGAATCGTGTGAATACAACTTGCTGAATGCTGTAGCCTACATGTACACAGACAGCCGGGCTATGTGACTAGGCCATAATAGAATAATAAAAACATGTGTAATCACCTGATCATTGTTTCTGTCGTGCTTCAAAGCGATTCGGAATGTGTAATGTTCCACCAGAATGGAAAGGATGCTGAAGGATGGCAAGGAGGAGTAAGAACACTGTAAATGACCTGGGGAGGAATCATAGATCCGGTCAAGGTACTTGCCAGTATGACTGTAATTTGACGTTTGTCGTCTAAGGCTCCGATTTCCACCTGCTTGATTCCAAGTTTTGCCATTGTCCATTTTGAAACGGGAATAATGTTGACACCTGGTCCCAGTTCATAATAAGAGAATTTGGTATACTGTACTTATTAACAACTGTTTTGACTTTCGGTAATTTTCACATAAAATAGCACTTTTGGAGGACATGACAATCAAAAAATAAACCTGTCATAAGTATTGTTTTTTGTATTTTTTATTGAAGAAAAATCTATTTCTGATCATTTGACACAAAAATCCTGAAGTATTCGCATCTCTTAGTGTCTCATTCGGTCATCCAAAGTTTGACACCATCAGAATAACAGCTGCTATATGTCTCAAATTTATTGTATCCCATTTCCACAAGAATTGCACATTGTCACTGGTAAGTTTCTGGAATGGAAGAAAATGGTAGAATTAATAATATAAAAACTGAAAATATTGGAATTTAAATATCTTTTCACAAAAAATCACTTTTTTTGATTATCTTATAAATTTTTATTCCACTTAGTGATGGTTCATTTATTCTCTAGTTCATCTTACTTAAGTTAGAGTGACAAAGATATTAATTTCTTGTACAGAAAACAGTCTTTAATCAATGAAGTAACATTTCCTTGTCTTAAACAAGCAAGTATGATGATGCTTACAGTTTGTTACACAGGTAGGTGATATTACGGATGCTACATAAAAATGTACAATGATACCCTTTTCATTTTGAAGTGTGGAGCTCTCAATGCTGTTTTATGGCTGGCATATTTAATCTGAAATTGTTAAATAATAAGTTACAAGAGACTTAAAATATTTTTTTGTCAGGTACAAATATGAAATGCATAATTATAGAAAAAATTCAAAAATGATGCTCAAGCAAGAATACTTTTGTGGAACATTTATATATTGACTGTCTAAAAGAAGAGAATATAGTAGTATCCTGTTACTTGAACATTGTTTAGTGATAGAAAATATAAAACAACTGTGTAGATTGCAAGTGTTTAATCTTATATACATTCAAAATAGAATAGAAAAAATTACGGATGCTACAAATAGTAAAGAATATAAACATATGAACTCACATTGGTTAGGAATTGTAAGTTTCCATAAACTAGTAACTGCATCTACTTGTTCTTCTTGTCATGTATCTTCATAATCAGATATTAGGATATCTGCATTATATAGACATATGATACACTTCAGTGAATAGGTATTTCATATAATTATACTTCTCTAGAGGTGAAATTAACAAAGTCAGCTCGTGAGAAAAAATAAAATTATCAATTGGAAATATCTAGTTATATGTAAAATGTTTTATAATATTTAATACTAATAGATACTAGTAAATATAAAATCTTATAAATATGATATTCAAATGCTACAATTTAGAATTATAAAAACATTAAGTATTTATGCCTACCTCTTATTCCACTAGTACTTAATATTATGATGTCTGATGGTAAAATGTCAGTTCATGTATTGGTAAAGTATTGATTGCATACACATTATTCACCCTAGCTTCCACAAATAAAAACAAAACAATATGGTTCCAATTGAAAATATAATGACATGTAGCATCTATTTTGTTTTCATTCCATTGTTCTACAGTAAAAGGAATGCTATATGTAAAAAATGAAAAATTGTGATGCGTAAAAATGAAATGTCTTTTAATAATACTTAATGCAGTCCATTGTTGTTGAGGATAAACAGTAACATCTTATAACATAAGTTTGCAATGTTTAGTGTTGCAGTTGAACGATCATCTTATTTAACTTTACAGTCTTTTGTGGCTGCAGTTGAACAGTAACATCTTACTCTAAGTTAGCAACTTTAACTGTTGCAATTCTATAGTTTATCAACAATATTGTCTTGTGCTATGTATTCCTGCACATGATATATCAGAACTTAAAAAACTGTCTTCTGTTGTTGCTTGTGGCAACATCCAATCTTGGAGCTTCAAGAGTATTGTTTATTGAGCTAAAATCTTCCCACGATTCATCTTTCCTTGTTGGCCAAAAATAGACATCCCCAGTTCCCTTCTCCATGAAGGACACCTTAACTTCCTGTTTAATGACGTCAACCTCCATCACCTTAAATTAAAAATATATTATTTGTAAACATCTGTATTAAAGATATTAATAGGAATTTGTATCGTTCAGTATACCTCAAATCTTCAACTTACCTGGGCAATGAAAAGGGTATTCTTATCTCCCAGCTGCACTTGAACAAAATCATCCTTCTTGAAGGTGCTGGAATTAAATTAAGACAGTTTTTGGGCATGAAGGATAGACTGGCAAAGCAGAATTAATCAAATGGATGCAAGGTAAGAAAGTAGAAACTGTAAGTAAATATGTAAGTTAATACCTTATTGCTGGTACAGGTACAGTAGAGGGTTTTACAGATTCAACAGCAGGTACAGTAGAGGGTGTTACAGATGCAACAGCAGGTACAGTAGAGGGTGTTACAGATGCAACAGCAGGTACAGTAGAGGGTGTTACAGATGCAACAGCAGGTACAGTAGAGGGTGTTACAGATGCAACAGCAGGTACAGTAGAGGGTGTTACAGATGCAACAGCAGGTACAGTAGAGGATGAAGCTGTGTTGAGTAAAGGAATACAAAATTTGTAAGTAGAGATAATAACAATTAATAGGTGACACGGTGAGTTACAAACTTTCATATACAATTAGCAAAGGATACACTGTGCTGCTACATTCTTTACTTTCATCTTTGTCCAGGGCTCAACATACATTCGATTCAAGCATTCACCTTTATCAGTCTTGCAGGGTTCACAATAACAAGAGAGTGTTCTTGTTTGTAGAATGGAGGGGTCATTTGGTGTATTTCTCTGGGCGTGCAGTTTTCTTGTTCCAACAACGGTTGACACCTCAACATCACATTTCTCTCTCTGTGCTTGTATCTGTTCATGGGAGACATAGAAGAAGTCCCTTTTGAATACTCCATGGCTGGCTTTTGATTTACTTTCAGCATCAGAATTGCTCATTGTTGTGACGCAGTGGTCAAAAACTTCACGGGCATTTGAAAGCTGTTTGCCCCCTATCATGGCTCGGTAACATGATGATTTTGTAACGGCTCCCTCACCATCACTTACGTTCTTTCCATGTGAGGTTTCAAATTGTTCCTTTCTTTTACTGCTTTTGTACTTTGAGATATGTCATAGAAAGGCTTTTTAGCCTTGTACTGGGCAGCGCACCCGTCAGTCCACTGATAAACTATCTCATGACTCATTCCAATTACCCTTTCGGCCTCCTCTTCAAACTGCTTAACAGCAAACGAATCATGAATCATATCATCAGATATTCCTACAAGAGCATGCTTCACAAGATGTCCATCCTTGTGATAGTAGTTAACTATGGGATGTATTGTTACCTGTACTGGTTCAAAATATGCAATTTGTATGGCATCTTGGTATAAGCAATTATAGTTCTCAGAAAAGTCCATGATTTGCATGAGTTCTTTCTCTTGTAAGGATTCTAGGCATTGAGCCTGCTGTTTGTATTGCCATGATGCTCTAAACAGGTGTTGGGGCAGGGTCTCAAGGTCTTTAGAGAGTTCATCAAAAAATTTCCAATACTTGTTGTTTTTTTCTGGCATGAAACGATTCTCTTTTCCCCACCTTTCTTATCCTTAATCTTTATGTACTCCCAGCATCTCCATGTTACTTCCTCATCGCCATGCTTTAGGAGGTCTTTATAGTGATTCTTAAGATTTTGAACCCCACAACTGGTACAACTTTTTTCAAGGCATTTTGGATCTGGTAAGTTTTGGTACTGGCACAGGACTAAGTTAGCAAGTTCTGATTTTGATTTGGTGAGCTGTTTCTTTTGTTCTTTGACCTGGACATCATTTGATGAGGCTACCAACTTTTGGATTGCTTCTGCTTTTAAGGCAACATTGAAGCATGCTTTGCAGCCGCAGGACTTTCTTGAGGTTTCTGATAATTTTTTAACTTGAACAGGTTTCAGACGATAAAAGGTAGTAAAACTAACATCATACTCAGACTCTGAGATATACTTCTCGTATGCCTCTTTAATTGTAAAGTTCATTGTTTGCTTATGAAGTAGAGTGCCATCCTTAGACTTTATCACATCTTTCTTCGATGGAAGTTGCTTACTTATTTCTGGTGTTAGGTAGAATCTGCGAATGTCATTTTTGACAATATCAGCTATTTGTTGTTTCTTTTTCTTGGTTCTTTCTACTTTCCACCATTCTGTCTTCCTGTCTGTTGATTTCAAGGTTTTTATTCCAAGGTATTGGCCCAGTCTTTTCTTCAGACCATATTTCTTTGTAATGGCCTTAAGGGCAACATGCTTGATGATCTGGTGAGCATGTTTTATGGTATTTCTTGTGGGAGCTCCCCTACCCTGAGTTTCTTTCAATGTGCTTCCCATTGACTCTAATATATTCTTGCTTATATCATCTTATTTGCTTGTTCTATTTCTCAGATATTTAGAACATGTAGGCGATGATGCTAGATAGTCCACTATCCTTGCTCTTTTTATTGGAGTTTTTGGTAGACTTTCTCTTGCTTTTTTCTTGAACCTTCTCTCATTTTTTTCAGTTCCAAATGGGTTTTCTTGGTTTTTTTGCTCTAATTTTATACGCATCCTCCAACATTGTACCCTAGATACTTCCGCCTTTTTTTCAGTCTGTCTTGCAGTCTCTGCTTTCTGTTTTTAGCTTTTTGTTCTTTTCTTTTCTTCTCTGCCATTATCTTTTTACCTGCAGAAATCCTTTTGTCTTTTTCTGAATCTCTTTCCACATTTTTCTTCTTTTTTTTCTATAAGCACGCATTCGTTCTCTTTGTTTCTCCTTCATTGCTTCGTGTAAAGGCTGATTTTTCATACATCTTTTTTTCAGCTCTTTTCTTGCTTTTTGATTTCTTTTACGATCAACTTCTTTTACCTTTTCATATTTAGATTTGTCTTGTTTTAATTTCTCTCGATATTTTCTCACATTTTCTCTGTTTTTCTCTGCTGAAAGTCCCATTTTGTCCTATGTTGCTCTTAGTCTTGATCTATTGGTTTCATAAGTTCACTTCTGAAGTCAGACTTTGTTCTTTTACATTATGTAATATAAACAAAATATGTAGCATCCGTAATATAGTGTGTTTGATGTTATTAAAGAAATAGTGTCCAATTTTTTTATTGTGCCAGTTTAATTTTAATTGAATGAATGATTCCTGAAATAAAAATGTTCATCCTTTCCATAGTTTGATATGAGAAGTTTAAAAAAGAAAAATATGGTTTTGGTTCTTTGTCAACTCTCATAATTAAATACCCCTTCTGTTCCTAAGGATATCAAGTAATTCTAGTCTGTATCAATCAATGTTGCAATATGACATGTTTCATAATACTGAAGGGTTGTGTTTATTTCTCTTTAACTGGGAATAAAGGACATTACGGATGCTACATTGTCTATTACGGATGCTACACAACCTAGATCAGCTCAGGACTCTGAAAAGGAAAAAACACAGAATATTTAAATATGCTATTTTCTTGAGGGCGGGGTATTTGTTAAATCTAGAACAATAAAAATTAAAAATATTTCTCAGTTAACATGTAATTTAGTTTTTTCTACAGATTACGGATGCTACACTTTTTTGTCTCTTAGATATATTTAGACTTTAAATAATAATATTTCTGTTTATTTGAAAGATTTACATGTTTTCATATTTTATTTGCTTATAACTATCAAAAGGCTTTATTAAAACACAAAAATAAAGAAATAAAAATATATTTTACCTGTTAGTTGATGAATCAAAAATGTTAGTGCTGAAAATTCAGAAAGTCGTAACGGAGGTAGGCTTATCTAAAAATGCTATAACTTTTCTGTTGTTCGATGTAATTTGTTGAAATAAACGGCAAAATAAAGGAAACTGAAAATACTAAAATAAACATATAACTTTTATATATACGTTTATTCAGTTTTTTCTCAAAACTTATTCTAAAATAGCTTATTTTAAAATGTCCGTTCGTAACGCTGAAAAAAGAGAGAATTTGACTCTTATTAATGCCATATACAATTTAATATGGGTTCCCATAGTTCTAAATGTGTTTGATTATGTAGAGTATACCCCAATGTAACATATTATAACTCCAACATATACCTCTTATTTATTAATTTACAGACCTGTAACATCATTTTTCTCAAAAGTGCTATTTTATGTGAAAATTACCGTTTATTTAGACATTCAGATTTTACTTCCTCAAAATTTTCCTATAGCTTTCGGGCTTGTTTAGTCCCCTTTCTATTTACCAACCCCATACGATCGAACATTGATCTCACGAAAGACTTTGTGACAACAATATCACCACCATACTTAACAAGGCGTCCCTTGTCCTTAAATTCCAACATACCAAATCTAGTATTTAAGACAGAGCCAGCAGCTTGTAGGTCAGCTGGCATAGCTTGGGCCTCAGTATTCAGAAGTGCACCAAATTTCAATGGACGCCCTGTTTTTTTTGCGTTAGGGAGCTCCTTTAACCTTTAGCGTGCTGCCGGCGGACTCGTCCGCCGAGACTAAAATGTCTCTCACAACTGCCGGCGGACCCGTACGCCCGATTTCAAACTTTTAAAAACTTTACTTTTTCGCGCCATTCGTATTGTCCAATTAGATTTCCCGATTTATTCAGTGCCTAACATGACTTCCTGTTGACCTAGAAATGGCGATATTTCGAAAAATAATTCTCAATTCAACAATTTAAACAGTGTTTTAGTCGTTTTTAGTGAACGAATCATACAAAATGGCGGACAAATACGATCACAACGAAAATGTGGAGGACATGGACTACGATTTCGAGCTCTTTAGGCTCTTGGAAGCCGATAACGGTCATCGAAAATAGAAACTAGAATATTTTCTGAATTGAAAA